GGTGCCCTCTATTCTCCACTTTGAACTAGTGCCTTGTCATGCAGAATCAACTTAGATGTTTTCCTGGGTGTACTCTAGTTGTAAGATCCTAGGGTTGAACCCTGCCTCTAAGTTGTGGTGGTCACCCGATGATGTAGTCTCTCAACTTTTGAAGTCGGAGTTTGAACAACCAGTCTGTAGTGAGCTAGTAGGAACCAGCACTGTCTCTCTTGTTTCATCTTGGAATATGTAGTATTTTATTTTTTCCTTCTCGCTAGCGTAGGTACTTCAGATTTTACCATCAAAATAATGCACTCTTCTTAAATTTGTTGATGACTAGTTTCAACATTCTGTTTAGTGGGACATTCTGACACTTGAAGACACATTCCAAAGTCTAGAGCTACTCGACGACCATGTTCGGATTCATGTGACCATCGAAATATGATAAATGCACATTTATTTCAAAATTCTGACTTCTTAGATATTTCAAGTTGCATATTTGATTTAGAAGTTCTTCATACCATTAATGCACATGATGGAAGAGGTTTACTCCATCCTTTTGATCTAGCAAGTCACCATTGTAGATATATGGGTGACTCATCCAGATTGCCTCATCTCGAAGATGGTAAGCCTCAATTGTAGTTGATGGGTTTTCCACTGCAGATCCTTCCTAGAAATCCTTTGAACGTCTCTTTGTGGATTTCTCTTCGATTAGGCTTCCGATGATTATCTTCTTAGAGGCATGACTAGTTTTTTGGGTGTGGGTAGGTGGAACGTGTTGATGTAAGGTGAGAAAGAAAAATTTTAGGTGGATATTGATTTATGTGAGGCAGATACTAGAAGCCCTAGACAACATTAGAGTTAGGATAGCTCTGATATTAATGATACTGAAGTTAACTGAAATCACATTAGGAAAATCAAATATTATTACTAGAAGCAAATATGTGGTTATAATTAAACACACTTGAAAGGAAAAATACAACATAGAACATGCAAACTCACGCTCGTGCGAATCCCAGGTGAAGATGGTGACAGTTAGTGGGCTTGATGGGTTAGTGATAAGGTAGGGAAGGGGTTTTCGGGTTGTGGGTGAGGAGCGATAGTGATTAGGAGTGGATGGAACAGTAGGACAACAAGAGGCGGCATCCAAAACAATAGTAATTGGCTATTTGGGTCAATTGGACAACAAGGAAACAACAAGGTGAAGACATTATAGCAATAACAACAAGTGGAATGATGAGAAATTGTTGGGTAGGCATCTGGAACAACATAAAACAACTCAAATGGCTATTTCTGGGTAGCGACATCCGCGGTGAAGACATTGTATTGCGAGACAGTCAAAGGAAGACTGTTCAAGGTCTATGACAATGAGAAGGATGGTTAGACGGTGAGGAACTGCCGAAAGACAATAGCAGAACTGCGGTCAGGTCGACTGCAACGAGGAGGAAGGCGTGGTAGCAAAATGAGAGGGATGCGGGACAAAGTAAGGAAAATAGTCATCATGTGGAAACTAAGATACAACCGAAAAACTATTTGGAACCCTAGAATACAACCATCGAAGGAAAAAAAAAATGCCAGCGACCGTCCAAATACAAAACACACAAAAACTAATTTCCAAATCCTAATACAATACATATATAAAAAATGACTAAAAAAGAATTAATAATAATAGGAAATAAAATATAAGGAAAATGAGGTTATTTCGACGCCTCTCTAGCCATAGCTATTCCCACGTACTATAGCTAATTTCTAATCATATAGCAAGATGTTATGAGAAAATTCAAGATGATTATGGATTACACAATATAAATGTACTATACAAAGTTAATACTTTATTGCATAGTAGCTTATAATTTTATAAAATAAACACATGCTTAAAAAAAATAAAAAGAAATTGAGGTGTTATAAATGTTCGTTTAGATATATTCAATTATTTATATTGATATTGATATTATTTTTTTAGTCACAATATATTCATGGATTGAGCTGTATAGCGACATGAAAAATCAATTCAATTGAATATAAACTCGAATGATTACAAATGAAGAAGTTTGAACAGAATCTCTTCACTCTTTATCGCAGCTATATCTATATAAAAAAATTGCATCGGTAACAGATCAAATACCGCCTAAAAGTAAAACAAAATTGATCACTAATAACATCGAATAAAATCATGTTCGAATCAACTTATTATTTACTTATTTGTTTTAGGAATCTGCGCATCACCATATTTCATGACAAAACAAGCAAAGGCAGAAAAAAATATATACTTTAGCTGATTTTAAACGTAAATTAATGCAAAACTCCGTCAAAAAAATTTGATCGTTTTATGATAAATTAAGAATTACATAAGACACATGCAAACAAAACCAATCAAAAAAAAAAAAACAATAAATTAAGATATTCAAATAATTCAACAAAATTAAGCAAATATTTGGAATTATATAATTATAAATATTAGGAATATAACCCTCCTTCAGTTATAATAATAATAATAATAAAAGCTTTTATCATTCCTTCTTACCAATGCCATGAGCCATGTTGTAGATCCCACGAGCCTGCTTATCAAACAAAGCAAAATGTTGACAAGGTCAAGCAAACGCACAATGTATGAGAAATATGTTTCGATACAAAATTTAGGATTTATTTTAATATAATTTTATTCATCAAATAATCAATATTTTTATATTTATATCATGCAATATATCGGTATAAATATAATATATTACTTCAACTGCATCCCATCTTGATTTTAATATTTCAGAATGAAATATTCAAGGAAATAATCTTAAGTATAAATTTAGTTAGAAATAGAATACTCACAATTAGTGCAACGGAAGTGGCGGCCAATGCAAGGGGTATAGCAACTGAAGTTATTGCATCATAACGGCCCTTCACATAAACAGGTTTGTGTACGCTTTGAAAATATTGCTGGAGCTTTCTCAGCCTTTCCCTGGAAACAAATGGTTCTTCTGCTGCCATGCTGCTGGTATGAAAATTATGACGCAGCACGGAAATATTATTGCTCAGAATTGTTTTGAACAATAAATTAATTACAGAAATCGATTTAGGTTACGATTTGGATTGAAATGAAAAGGAGATTTTCATTTTCTCAAACTGCTGATCTTAAGGAAAATAATAAATAAATTCCTTCTTTTTTGTAATAAGGAAGACAAAAGGGGCATTTACGTGCATGCCACCCAATTCTTATGTATTTACATATCTAACATGTAAAATTCCATTTTGACATTTATGCCATCCAAAATTTTCATATCACTATTTTCACTTCGAAGAACTGAAACCCTAATATTCATGCATAGGGAAGGGTTGTATGTATGCAAAAATTGAAGTTTAGATGCTTGATATGTAAATACATAGGAATTAAGTGGTATGTACGTAAATCTTCCAAAAAATAAAAAGCGTTGTCTAATTTTCTGACCAACGAATTAATATTTTGTAGATTCAAAGGATACAAAGCCTGAATGATTAATCCAATGTAAAGATGGAACTTAACGTTATGAATCCCATTAATTCACAAAACTGTTACCTGGAGGACCTGAAGAAGAGACGCCGTAGAACAGCTCCTAAATGAACAGGGCAATTGGAGAGAAGGGAGAAGGAAGTAGCAGAGAAGCAAGGGTTGGCTGCAATTGTTATGTGATACTGATATATTTATTTAAAAAGAGATATGAGGACCCCAACGCTCTTTTTTTCTAACGGGGAACTGTTTAGTACTTTCTAGTTTAATCTGGTAGTATCCTGAAGTTCTGAAATAAGAATAAGAATTAACCTGAAGAGCACGCACAAATAACTTAGCTCAAACCCAAGTAGACTTTGGATTATGATGTATGTGAAAAACAGTAAAGCACCAAAATAGTTCATATGGGGTCATTTTAGCCCCAAAGTGAGACCGAACTATCCCAAAACACACAGAAACACAAATGCGATTGCTGAATTTTGAAGAGAGTCACAACAAAGACTCTTAAAACCGAAATAAAACTCATTTTAGCCCCAAAGTGAGACCGAGCTATCCCAAAACACACAGAAACACAAATGCAATTGCTGAATTTTGAAGGGAGTCACAACAAAGACTCTTAAAACCGAAATAAAACAACACACAACACAAACGACCTTCTAGGGTGAGGATAAAAGGGGTGAATGCTGGCTGATCAGCAGGTGGGTGGCGGTCTGGGATGCTGTGGCAGCACTGTGGGTGATGGAAAGGGCTGGCGGCAGCAGATGGAGATGCAGGAGGAACAGGCAAAAGCAGGTGAGGATGCAGGAGGGTTGGTTGGCGGCAACTGCTGAGGGTGCAGGAGGGTTGGTCGACAAGCAGGTGTGGGTGTAGGAGGGACTGGCGGCAGGAGGTGGGGATACAGAAGGGTTGGTCCGCTGGAGTTTGGGTGTGGAAGGGCTGGCGACAGCAGGAAGGGGTGCAGGGAGGGCTGGCGTCAGCAGGTGGGGGGTGCAGGGAGCTGGTAGGCAGCAGATGAAGGTGTAGGAGGGCTGGGCGGTAGCAGAAACAGGAAGCAAAGGGCGACAGGAGGGAGGAGACGGCAAGTATACTTGGTGAGTTGGATGGCTGCAGCAGTGACAACTACGGTGACGACAATAGAGGCAAGGTAGCGGAGGATGTAGGAGAGTTAAGGATAATCACCACCTTGGAGTGAGATAAAGCCGAAGAACCACTCGTCCTCATATACAACCCTAAGAAGAAAAACTGGGGATGCTGAAAACTGAACCACAACACCCCCAATCTCCTCCCCCCATTGACAAAGTCTATAAAAGTGCCAAATTATTCCCTAGACTTTTTAAATTGGGGCTTTAAATTGGGGTTGAGATAGTTCTCGGTGGGAACTATTTTAATCCATATTAAAAAATTTTGGGACTAAATTGGCAAATTTATATACTCATAGACCAAGATGACCCTCCACAAAGTGTCAGGTGACTACTTGACAATATTCTCACATGAAAACAATGCATATATGACACTTATCTAAAGAAAGGATTTATTAAAACATAATGGGCATAATAATTTATAGTACAGATCACATCAAAGAGAACTAAAAGTGAATTCAGATAATCTCAACACAAACAAAAAACAGGCAAAATGAAGCACTTAGTGATAAATTAGCAAAAAATGGTGCGCTATATCTGAAGTTGGATTGTACTACTGCTGAGCCAACCAAAAGGAAGTTGAGATCGGTTGGTCAAATTAGCAAATTCTGACAGTCAATCCTATTCTTCAAAAACAAAATAACATATCCTTTTGCATCGATAACATTATTTTAAAATCAATAATTATATTAAGCAAAAAATGAAAATTATACAACTTGGCGCAACGCTAAAAAATACAACTGCAGTAGCTTGAGAAGCCAAGCAAACTAGAGTACTGGAGCATTCATTTGTCACAAATTAAGATCCTCCTGCTTGAATAAAGACCTTCAGATGTGTCAAACTGGTTTGCTCTCCATCCCATGGCTAATGTGATTGCTTGAATTTCATCAATTATGTACTTAAAATCGCGTATATATGCACGTCCACCCGGCCTTAGGATGCGATCCATCTCAAGTAGGATAGTAGTGATGTTGCATCTGGGCAAGAAAGAAAAACGATTTTAAAACAAGCAAGGGTGCAAGACCTAATTATGATTTTGCGCTGCTAAATTTCAGTTTTTGTTTGATGTATTTGAATGCTTGAAGCTCAAGTCAATAGAGACCCCCAAATAAGAATTTGAGTTTTTATTATCAATTTCGGAGGATGAACAAATAGCCATCAATTTTGGTTTTTTCCTTCAAGGAACACAAACATTAGCAAAACTATGATTTCAAGTTAGAGAGCAAAAACGCTTACCCTAAATGTAAGGGGGTAAAATTTTATAGCATACATAATTGCAGGAGAATTTAAAGATAAAATTTTCATATTATACACTGCTATATAAGATTTTTCTCAAATATAAGGGGTGTGAGAGCAACTCCATTCACTGCAACATTTTTCATTTTTAGGAGCAGTATTTCGATAAATGATTTTATGTCCCAAATGAAACATTAAATGGCCAAGCATAGACTAGAAATTGGCCAGTGCTGATGGTAAATAATTCCCAATTTGAAATTGGAATTGTGTGTAAGGATTCAAGTAGCCAGTTACCAGTTGTAAGAAAAAAGAAAAGCTCACATGAGTTTATTACCTTTTCTGCTCTCTAGAGAACAGGCCATATGCATGCAATAAATCATAAGTTCTGGGATATGTATCGAAAGGTTCACACCTACATTGGGAAAGGAAAATTTTTTAAGAAATAGATTTTTATACAGTAGTTCATGATAAAAACTTCACATTTGGTGGTGAAGACTAACTTGGTGCTTCACCAAAAAAAGCGAGAACAACTCCAAACATTATTTCTTAATAAATTGCAAAAAAAAAGAGTGAAGTGTCAAAATAGTCCCCTGACTACTTGTACGGGCCCTTTTAGTCTCTCTGAGTTTACATAATTATTAAAGTAATCCGAGGACTCTTTTAATAAGAGCAAAAATAGTTCTCATTGAGGATCATTTCAACCCACAGTAAAAGAGTATGGGGGCTAAATTGACACTTTTATAAACTCAGGGTTTACAATGGCTCCCCTAAAAAAAAATCAGGGGTTCATCCTGACACTTTTCTCTAAAAAAGACGAGAAACAAAGAACAAAAACAAAAAGCAGCTCTTGAGCACAAATCCAAGTATATCTCTATTGATTAAACCCATGTGATCAGAATTCAACAGGAATAACTACACTATGCAATTTCAATCAAATAAAATCGTCATTGCTATATTATTATTATAATTAGCTACGTGAAATTTGTAGCTCCAACAAGAACGACAATAATTCACTGAAATTTAATGCAGTTTGAATTGATACTGATAAATTACTTATTTAAGTTATAGGTCAAACAGGTTCAAGAAAAGACTTTCCGTCATTAAAAATCAAATGTTAAAACTATGAAGCGCTTTGTTAGCATCCCAAAAAACACTGAGCAGTCAAGAGCAGTCAAATTTCATGGTGAAAACAAACATAAAAGCCAAAAAACACTGAGCAGTCAAATTTCATGGTGAAAACAAACATAAAAACAAGAAAAATATCATAAAAGATATGGAACTCAGAAAAGCAAAATGAAGGATCATACCAATCATGGGCAACTCCTACTAGCCCTCGGTCATATATTACAGGCAGTGTGTTAGGCTCGCTTGTTGGGACAACATTCATCACCCAGCTGTTAGGCAGGAGATCAATCATTGCTGCTGCAAATCTATCATAAAAAAGAAAAAAAATTACATTTCATCATTTTCACATGCTAATATGAACAATAAGAACAAAGAAGTTGAATGGTTGGAGGAGTTGCAAAAGAGTCCGCACCAATTGAATCATTTAGTTAAGCAAACCTTCAAGACGTTAACGAATAGTGATACGAAACACAACTTATTCAGCAAATCACTATTTTTTCAGCCTAAGGGGCTGTTTGGTAAAGACTCATAACATTTATCACTGGATTTTACTAAATCCAGCCAAACGATAAAATGCAGGAGTTTAATGGATGTACTGATTTACTAAATCTAATTTTGCCTTCAATTTGTCCTAAATCTGGATTTACTAAATCCGAGGGATAGGTGGATTTAAGGATTTACTAAATTGTCCTAATGTTAAATCCTACTTGCAGCCAAACAGCCCATTAGTATAAGCATTCAATGTAATTAACTTAACAGAGTGATTAGCCGATCAAATTTTTGTTGTGATCACATGATTTCTCTTTAAAAAAGAAACTCTCTTGTCCAGACTATATTGGAAATAGTATTGAGTTTATATTTTCCTAAGGAAAAAATTATCATAGCAAAATACATAAATTAATATGAATTTGTAATGGAAAATGGAATTTCTAAATCCAAAACTCAATAGCACCAACCTTAAAAGCTCGCATTATACATCTCAAAAACCTTTACAACACTTGTATAATTGACTCGCAAAACCAAAGACAAAATTTCCTTCTAAACTTCATATTAATTATTTATGCAACGCTTTCTTCAGCCAATTTGACTCTTGATTTGTATCTCTAAATTTTTTCCAGTTTTGCCAATAGTAGCATTAGAATTGGAAGGATGTGAAAATTCAAAATTACATACCCTCCTAGTCCAGCTCTCATGTCCATAACATTTCGAAGGTTCATTTCCTTCCAACGAAAAGCATTGACATAACTTCCAATTATTTCATTCCAGTATGCAGATTCGGCTTTGAAAAGCTCATTTTTAGCCATGTAAGCATCCATTTGCACTGCTTGAAGCCTCTGCGGTGGTACATGCAGGCGATCAGGCCAAGGTGAAACGTCTCTTTCAAATCCTGATTCAGGAAGCCTGCTGATGCATGCTTTCAGATTAACATACCTGAATCACAAAGAACATAAATAAGTCATAGCTATTTAAGCAAATCAAAGTAACGAGTCATCTAGAAAACTTCTTCAAGTTTCATGTTATGCTAAATATTACTTAGCCTCCAATGTTTCTTTTTTTTTTCTTAATCTAGATTTTTTCCTTCTTAATTTCTACGTGCTTGTAATTCCTATTTTTCGTTGTTTTATTTGATTTTAAACTGCAACATCCCTTTTACTTCAAATAGGACCCCAAGGCTGGATTTGTACAGTTGAATGAATTAATTTTAAGATTTCCTTGCAAGATTTCACTTTGTGTTGGACGAGAAAGAGGGGTTCTAGTCCGACCATTGGGATGGAGTAATGCAACCCAATCAACCACACATGGGAGAGGATCAAAGATGGTCCGTTCAGGAGAGAGCTTTGATATGTATGAATAAAGGGAAAGAAAAGTAAATTAGTTTTGAAATAAAAACCAAAAGGCGAGATATGTTCCAAGCACCGTTGCAGATGGATGGGTGGGAGACATTCACCCATGAGGTGTCGGAGGGAGCACAATCATGAGAAAACTTTGGTTGTGGACAAAAATGGATGTAGGGCAGTTGACACAAGCGGGAGGAGCATGTTGGTTCACAAAGGACACTCTCTCCTTATGGACTTTTAGCTCAATGTGGCTCGTAGAAAGGCCAACGAAGGCTTAGGCGAACTTGAAAGAGGCTCATGCATGAGGTTGAGATGAGATCCCTTAAAAGGTGTATGTCATGTGGCAAAGGAGCCAGTAGAGACACAATAGATCGGAATGTGGGTGGATACGTAGTTGAAAAAAGGAATGATCATAGCATCATGTAAAAAAGTAACATTTGAAACACATTACATTACCAAATAAAAAATCATGACTTTGGGAATCCGATTGTTAGAAAACAAAATGAAAAACTTGGATGAAATAGTTCTTTAAAACTGAAAAGAAGCTTTAAATACCAGACATCATCCGGGTTATCATCTGGGTCACACAGTGAAGGTTGAACTCCAGCTTCACGTCTGTTATAACAAGTGTTGTTCGAAGGCTTTTTCCATATAGCAATATAACCTTCCTTTTTCACAAGCTTCCAACAAATACGAGCGGTTAGATTCACCATCTCTATCACAATGAAGTTAAAACCACAAGTAAGGAATGCATTTTCCATGTAATAAAAACAACTATGATCGTCAACACTTGAAGGTCAACACTTGAGCTTTCTTTTTTATTTAGTTGATTTACCTAATTCTATTTAAGTAAAATTTCTCATGATGACTGCTAAGTATCATGAGATTGAAAAGACTAGCTGCAAATCATAGGAAAAGGGGTAGAGTAGAAGATTAGCGGCAAATTAAAGGAAAATTTTAAAAAAAAACCCACAAATTATAGAGAAAGAGGTAGAGCAGAAGATTAATAAAAAACGAATATGCAGGTGAACATTCAAGAGTTTTTTTATTTTTTAAATTTAGTTGATATGCCTTGTTCTATTAAAGCAAAATTTCTCATAATGGATGCTGAATAATGGGATTGAACTTCATTGGCAATATATATAAGGCTCAAGAAAACCATCTTCTAGTTAGTGGGAATTAAAAAAAAAAATTGCTGGCTAGAAACAATGTTTGAAGAGCTAGTCAAAACAAATTTACCTTTCCATGCTTCTTGTTGTGCCTCTTCATGTTTATACACAGGTTGTGCTGCCCAAACGAAGTATCCTCCCGACCTCAGCATTCTGTTGACCTCAAGAAGCAAGATTCCACCTTCATCATAATTCAGAAAACTGATTAGTATAGCAGAGTCAAATGAGCGATGTTTAATTAATCAGATTCGGGTTCAATTCGGTTCCATGCTGTCTTGAATTGGTTCAGTTTTAAGCAAACATTAATATGGCAACCAAACCAATAATTTTGGTTGGTCTGGTTTAGGCCCTTAAATCTTTAGAAATTTATTTTTATGATTTCATTCTGGTTCTATTTGAATTTAAATGACTTTCAATAAATCGGTACATATTGATTTGATGACCTGCCCTAAAATGATCAATCCTTTAAATCTCTATAAGAATTCAAGGTTCACTGGAAAAAAATTAAAGATCCCGCCTGAATTAATCGTACAAAATAATTAGGTACAGAGTTTATAATTATAATTACAAATATGTATATAATGCTTCATCAATTAAATTGGATTTCTTTTGATTTTATAAAACTTCATATCGAAACCAAAGCAAGGTCAACTTATAGAATATGTAAAACAAATCAAAACCAAATAAAATCTACAAGTATAATCGAATTGGTTTGGATTTTCAGTTTAGCTGAGTTCCTTTATGCAAAGAATATTGAGTTATCTTCAAAATAAGAATGATGAATAAAATAGGCAAGGCCAAATTTTAAGGTAATCTGCGCCAACTGCTCTGAAGGCTAAAAGATGCAATAATTGATTTGAAAGAACAATATATGCTACAATTGTATGTGAAGATAAATATTTTCGTATTTCTAGTGATAAAAATGGTCGGTCTTACTATGATTTTTATAATGATGAATGATAAATCATGCCCCCCCCCCCCCCCCCCCCCTTTGGGATAAACAACCTAATGGTGGAGTGCCATTATTAGAGAGTTAAGCTCTTTCTTAATCTCAAATAGAAGACCCCTCTATTTTAATAAAGGAATGCAAACAATGCTCTAATATACAACCAAACAAATAGATGATTGTGCATGACTAAAACCTCAAAGATAGAGGTAGAAAATGACCTAGGTTGCTACTGATAAGTGAAAATATACGACAATAATGAGGTAATCGAAGTAGCATCAATAATTTAGCAAGCGCCTCAAATTTTAATACCTCCATTAATCACCTTCTTTGTGTTAAGATCTTTAGAAAGATAGTAAGATAAAATATTGTCGAACAGTTATGAGATTTAATGAGATAATAAATAGACAAAAGGATTCCAAAAAATAACAAGAAATCTAAAATATAGTGAAGAAAGGTTTACAAAAATTGTAGGGCATATATAACATTGTCTTAAGGTCAATGTGAAGATGGACAAATCCTTTTTCTGAAGACCGAAGAAGAAGAGTTATCAACAAATGATATTATTGTTTAATGTTAAATGTTTGCTAACTATTCAAACCTCAACAACATGTTCACTCTTCGCGCAAGCGGACCGCCCACTTCAAAATTGGGAAGTCAAGGCCACCAATGCAACAACTTCATCCATAATGATTATGACTATCATTTGTTCCAATGAAAAATATAATATGATCAAAATAAACAAAAGGTAGAGCAAGCAAGTCAATAAAGAACATAAGATAAAGTAATTGAGATATTTGAAACAACAAAATATAATATGATCAAAATAAACAAAAGGTAGAGCAAGCAAGTCAATAAACAACATAAGATAAAGTAGTTGAGATATTTGAAAAAAAAAATCCACCTTAAATTGCGCCTAAAAATTGTATGGATGGATGAAGCCCAGAGAGAAACTTGACCAAAAGAAATCCTATTTTTTCACAGTAGTTAGATTGATGGTAAAGTATGGTATTGACTAAGTTTATCCCTTTTTTCATTTCAAGAAGTTGGATGCTCTTGAATACAACGAAGATGCAAAGGGAATATGTTATAGTGAAGAGTGTATAGCTGAGAGATGTCCTAAAGGCAGATGAAAAGAAGAAAATCCCACATCTCTTCAGCAGCCTCTTAGAATATGAAAATAGATACAATAGTTGGTTGAAAATTATATTCATCTAATAATAGCATAGTCAACAGCTTGTTATTTTATATATTTGATGTTGTCCAACAATTCAAAAAGTAGAGAATTAGGATGACTTAAGCTACTAATGAAATCACATAGGAAAATGGAAAGCACTAGACCAATAAGGTAATTATCATGATAAATGTACTGATCGTGTAAAAGGACTTCCTCCCCGTGAAAAGATTCAAGATAAATGTACTCATCATGTAAAAGGACTTCCTCCCCATGAAAAGAGTAGAAGATGCCACGGGAGAAGATCACTGAGAATAAAGAAAAGAAAAGGAAAGGGTTCTAAATAGTCATAAATCCACGGTAAGAATGTTAATACAATATAATAGGAATTATGACAAGGGGGTGTATGTGTGGATATAACTAGGGCTATGGTGGCATGGGTGAAGTGTTGTTGAGGCATGCAACAACAATGCAAGTCATGGGATACAAACTAATCACACAAAAAGGAGGGCTCATTTAGATCGTTGGTGATTGAATACAGGCAGCGAAGATCATTGGCTTTACGATGATCTAATGTGGAAAAAATATGGAAATTCACCTAAAAGAGAGAAAAATATCAATGTGACAGTGGATCTCAAGAGGCATAGTGAAGAAAAAACAAGGGCCGTGGCTAGAGCCACTAAATCTAATACCATATTAGAGAATAAAGTTATTTCTTAAGTTCTTATACAATAGAGGAACCCTCTACTTATTATAGAGAAATAAAAATATTGTTTCAAGATACAAAAAAATAAGCATACATTACACACTAAATATAAATAAATTTCCAATTTGATATTCTGTTATCAATCATTACTCCCAAAATCCTTGAATTATTCTAAACTATAAACCTCTTATTGGCAATGGAACCATTCTCATATTATTCCATGCCCACAAGACTATCATAAATTAAATCATTAAGGTATTCATCAAACACAGTAGAGTTAACTATTTCCTTAAAGCTTTATGAATTGACTTTCAGTATTCATACATTCATGGCAATGTTACGTGATAGTTACCTTGATTTTGTGCAAATCTTTCCAACTACTTCTAAACATGTTACTTTGCATCTACCTATTTTTCTTTTTAATCATTCCATATTAATTGTACCTATCAGCCTTATAAATGTATTATATCATCTAGTATATATGTTAAAACCACCTCTATGCGCCACTAGCTTAGATTATTGAACAAATTCAAATGGCAAACTCCAGCATAAAAAGTTTATTGTAACTTGCATAAAGTAATTTTCCACCAAATCAAACGAAATTTTTTGAAATGAAAGCTTGCACTCATAAGTTGGTTATATATAAGCAGTTAGTGCTGTCAAATTACGATTCAAAAAATTTCAAATGGCTCTCAATGTAGTATCATTCTTCGAAGGACATTTTTATTGCTTTTTTTATTTCTTTTAATCAGTATATTCCATCAAAAAGTGAAAGAGAACATAGATACCATAGTGTAAACCTAAACACGGTAGGCGTTAGAATAAGAATGCATAGACACTGTGGTGCAGGCGACCATTTTTAACAAAAATATAATGACTTAGGATGGATAGAAAAAAAAAAGAAAATTTTATACCATCACGGGTCCAATTTATCCTACATCTTGAGCAATGAACTAGATCGAATGCTTGACTTGGATAAAACAACCTATGTGTCGCAAACACTGCTACCATTGCAGGGACACCACGTTCAAGGGCAAATTGAATCTGGTTTTCATGAGCATCTTTTGGAGCTATTGACATAGTGATAACATCTCTTGAAAACAAATAAGCACCAAAACTTGCCACACCACATCCAACATCAAGAACAATTCTTGTCTTGGAACCAAATGCAATATCCTGAACCATCTGCCAAAAAAAGTCAGGAAGATAGAAATTTTAGATAGGAAAAAAATTAGAAGACATGCAGATGACTACATATAAAGTAAGGAAGATGTCCAGAGACCACAGAGATCTGTTGAATATATTGATCCGCCCCATGTATAAATTGAGTTCCACCTCCAGGAAATCTAAATTTTTCCCCATCTCTTGCAATCCAATTTTGCCCTCCTTTTTCTTCAACCAAGCGTGTATGTGGAACATTGTTGAACCACACCTACAATTGCTATCATTTAAACTTTTTTCACCAAACAGACACAAAATCAAATCATTGGAATAAAAAACCTAATATGCCATTTCATTAGAAATTAACAGAAAAAAATAATTAAATTCCAAGTCTGTAGCAACTAAAATGTTGTTATTAGGGGTTACAAAAGAGGAAATAAACTTAAACTGCTCGAGTCCATCCAAACAATAAAAACACTTTAATCAATACAAATACAAAATTAATGAAAAGTTTTGTTTGGGTTTTACAAATAACATTCTGTTTCAGAAAACAAAATGTAACCTACTTGATTTCTCACTTAACAAAAACGTCACATTCTTAAGAGAAAAAGGTTCGGATTTTCAGCATAAGCTATTTCAAAGAGAAAACAAGGACTAATTTAGAAACACTAGACACCAATCATGGGCCCTCATGGAAAAAAGGAATTTTATTAAGGAAATCAAGATACCGGTGAAATAACATGAGCTATTTCAAATGAAAAGTGATCCAGTCTAGAACACCAATTGCTGCTTATGGGGCAAAGCGGTAGATAAGAAAAAACATGAATCATATGAACAAGGTTTCTCTATGAGAATGATTTTGCAATAATATATATATATATATATTGAGAGAGAGAGAGAGAGAGAGAGAGAGAGAGAGAGAGAGAGAGAGAGTGAGAGAGAGAGAGAGAGCATCGGAGGCTCCCTACGTGTTAAAATTAAGAAACAGGTATAAAAGTTGGAGGGGAGGAGGATCTCCGTCTAAAACAGCCAAAAAATACTTTAACACACCCCTAGGGATTCCTCCTCCCACATTACAACTCACGCAAAATGAAAACTCCAAACTTATAAGTATACCCAAGGAAAAATAGCAAAACTCAAAATTAGTATACCTGTGCCCGTGTAGTAGAATAACAGGAAAAGAAACAAAAGAGAATCCAAGGAGGCAGCACGAAACTCCTAATCCACTGGAAACACTGCAGCATACAGCAGTTCAAACTGGGATGTCGATCGACTGAGTAGAGTAGCCAAACAGCATAAGACCAGCGTAAACCAACAGATCAGGAGAGCCAAAGACACAAAGCCAGAAAGGGGTGCAATCCGAAACCTGCCAGCAAAATAAAGAAACCACAAGAGGGAGGGTGCAAAACCAAACCTCAGTAAAGATACGAGAGCACCCAGCCACAGGGCCGAGCAACAAGTAGCTTCTAAAATCTAACATAAAGTAAATCCAGGTTATCCCCAGTAAGGAGACGTCCGAGAGTTGCAGGGGGGATAAACCTACAGAGCATGCATCCCCTGTTTGTCTGGCTAACCAATCGACAGGGGAGTTGTCATCTCTATGGATGAAACTCCAACTCACTTTCATATGTCTTTCAGAAATTAAAGCAGAAATATGTTTAAGAATGCATATAATATCCCAGAGAGGAGGAGAAATACCCAAGAGTATATCATAGAGCATTTTCGAATCAGTTTTCACCTCAATTGTATGAAATTGAAAGCGATTGTCACCGTTAATGCAAGAAAAACCCCCCAGCATTCCGGGGCTAATGTCAACGTGACAGACCTCCCCTGCATGTTTGACTAACCAATCAGCAGTGGAGTTGCCCTCTTTATGAATGAATTTTCAATTTACTTCTAATTGTCTTTCAACCATTAAAGCTAAATTACGTTTAAAAGTGCAAATTATATCCCAGAGGGGAGGAGAGATTCCCAAAAGTATATCATAGAGCATTTTAGAATCGGTTTCCACCTCAATTGTGTGTAATAGGCTAACACATAAGAAGTTGTCATAGAAGCTTGGGGGGGTGGGGGGGAGGGGGGTGGATTATATTTGAAGTTGTTTCTCGCGGTCAAAATAACTCAAAGGACCAACAAAGGAAAGAAAAACCCTCCCCCCTTATCATCAAAAGCCTTCCATTGTCACAAATAAATACTTAGGATGCCTTTATGGATCCAGGGGATACCAAAGTGTAAGCCCAATATATTATAAACATTCAAAGAAAAAGCACATTCAAAAAATATATGTCTCGAATCTTCCTCCGAGACTTTGCACATAGGACATCTCGAAGTCAATTTAAGTTCTTTCAACTTTAAAATGTCATCAAGAGGCAGTAAATAAGAGAAAAATTGCCAGAGGAAAAAGGGGATAGAGGGAGTTAAAAGTTTGTGGCAAATTCATTTTCCCCAAAATCAATCACGGTGAGAGTGTAAAGTGTCATAGATTAACTTGCAATACCGATTGAGAAGTGGTCCTCTTCCACACGGGGAAATCCCTACGGGAAGGGGTAATAAGTATAGTATTTATATGCTTAACATTTTGCTCCCTCAAAATAGAACACAGTTTGGTGAAATCCAATCTATCTTGAGCAAAGAAATTAGAAACAAGTTATTAGTATGAGGAGGATGAGAATATTTAGAGAGAGAAGACAATTCCAAATTATCATTCCAGAAAGAGATGCTACCGTCACCAATGTCCCAAAACATAAGATCACTAGCAATAGACCTAGCATTAACAACAGCTTTCCAGATACGAGAATCACCAACTTTCCACAAAACCTGGGAAAGGTGAGAAAAATCACAGTATCTTTTTCCTTTTTATTGAAATACAGAGAGAAAAGACAATTCTCAATTATCATTCCAGAAAGAGATGTTACCGTCACCAATGTCCCAAAACATGAGATCACTAGCAATAGACCTAGCATTAACAACAGCTTTCCAGATACGAGAATCACCAACTTTCCACAAAACCTGGGAAAGGTGAGAAAAATCACAGTATCTTTTTCCTTTTTATTGAAATAACACATGATCATGATAAAACCTATACATTTCAGTGAAACTTACATGATACAGGTGGACAGAACTTCTTAAGTTGAAAACTGTTAACCTTCAAAGATACAAATTTGTATCCATATAGAAAAGAAAAACACGAGTACTACTTTACTGCAATTACTACATATTAATAGAGTGCACATGAACAAAAAGACATCAAAACCAGATGCTAGTTTGGCAGTAAGCAAGAAGAAATAATATTATAGGCTACACTCCACTCATTACATTTTTACAATCCCTGTACTGTTGAATCAATTCGTGAGATCCAAATATTGATAAATTGTTCACACCCTCTTCATCATTCCCATAAGTTCGGGTATCTCAGGCAACACAAGTAGTCAACACAGCTTCCAGATGTAGTCAAGCCAACAAAAACAATTCATAAATAGGGGAAAAAATAGATAACTTAGGGGGAAATTATGCATAAAATCATTAGTAATGCTATACTGAAATGTTATTTGGAAGTAGCAAAAGTGCCAATGACCTTAATTCTATGTTTATTGATCAAAAGCAAAAACCACAAGTATCCATTTTTGAGTGGTTCAAATTTTAAATAAAGAGGTAAGAAGTCAACTATCACGCAAAAGAAGTAATTTCACGGTTTCAACGTAAATATTGACCACGCTGCCATTACACTAAAAACCGTACATACATTTGACATAGCTAAGTTAACCGCACAATTTAATAAAAACTAAACTAGTTGGTGTTGTTGTTGCAAGATCTAGATATACCAGTTGATGTGGTATATATATAAATCAAACAGAATAACGATCGACGAAATGAAAAATAGAACGAAAAAAATCACACCAGAAAAGAACAACACAGCAAAACACACAGATTTACGTGATTCGGCAAATTGCTTACGTCCACGGAGTTACAGAGGATTTAACTACTCGAGGAATTTACACCAGTCGATCACCTCGACAGAGAATTTAACTACTCGAGGAATTTACACTAGTCGATCACCTCGACTTACAATCGTTGCTCTTTCTTCTTCTCTCTCTGTTCTTCTCCCTCTACACTGAGATACGCCGAAGAAAACTCTACATCGAGATATATCGAAAAAAACAAACTTACAAAAGAAATAAACCTAATTTTTCTTCTTTCACAAGCCACCAAGAAGAAGCCTAAGGAGATCAATCTTCTTCTTCTTTCTTCTTCCTTCTGCTGCAAGGAACTACCGCTTGCACTTCTCTTCCTCTGTCCCGAGGAAATCTTCCTCTATCCCGAGAAAACCGAAGAAGAATTCAAAGTGTGACTACAAAACCCAAGGAGAGTTATCCGAAGCATTTATCACGAACAGGAGGGAGCGAAGAGATGTTTCACTTCACAAAAAAGGAAGGGTGACTCTCCAAAGCAAAGTAACCGCCCAAGCATAGTGGACCGGACTCCACTATTTCTAGCAATTCTCCCACTTGGAGACCAGTACACAGGCTGCAACATTTCCTTCCTCAAACTGATATCCTTCATTGGTTGTGTCGACTTTTTCTTCAACATGTATCCTCTACCTTTCCTTCCTCAAACTGATATCCTTCATTGGCTGTGTCGACTTTTTCTTCAACATGTATCCTCTACCTTGAATCCTCCAACTTGAATCCTCTATCTCTGCAACTCAAAGTCTTTGTCTTCACTCTAGAAGACCAACTCAAGAGTAACGCCCTCAGTTAATATATCAGCACACTCCACATAGCTTTGCACCTCAAAGCTATTTCCTGGGTCACTCTTGTCTCTTCTTACAACTCCCACTGCATGGGCAACATCCTGTCCCTGCTGAAAATTTTTTTCAACAAGTCTAGCCTTGTAGCTCTTACTGACATCACGCTCAGTCTTCACCTGATACATCCACTTGTTGTGCAATGTCTTCTTCTATGATGGAAGTTCTGTCAGCTCCCGCTTGCTCGAACTTTCATCTTGCAAAATTTCTTCATAGCTCTGTGGTTCTTCAACATCTGTCTGTGAAACAATATGAATGGATGCCCCAGACCCACTTTCCTCTTCACTTCCGTCACTGTTATGCGTCATTGTTATGCACTGTGGCCTCTGGTAGATTTCCTACCACATTCAAAGCCCCTAAATTCAATATCAAGTCTTCAACATAACTATGAACTACCAACAATAGTGCATCATGTGATTCTTCAGATACCACATTTTCGCTATCATTCTCCATCTTAAGATTTTTACAGTTCTTCTTTATGTGACCAGCCTTGCCACAATATCAACAGTTGTCTGTTTACTAAACTTTGATTTTGATCTCCCTATACATGAGTTCCTATCATGCAATCTCCCTCTGAAATCAACATTCGGCGCCGAACTCGAACCCGAGACCTCGCTAGAATCTTTCCTGCGAACTTCTTCAGCTAAAATTAAATCACGAATATCATCGTATTTCAGATTAGATTTACCTGCAGAACCGCTAATTGTTATCCTCATGGCGTCTCAATTATCTGGCAATGAAACCAACAATATCAGTGCACATATCTCATCATCAAAATCAACTTCCATAGATGACAATTAATTTGTGAAAGTATTATAAACATTCAGGTGTTGAACAACAGAAATACCTTCCGTCATTTTCAAATCGAATAACTTCTTCATCAAGTGCACTTTGTTATTCACCGATGACTTTTCATACATACCTGATAAGACTGTCATGAGATCTGCAGTCGTCCTTTCCATGACGACAATATGTGCAACGACCTCGATAGGGTCAATTGAATAACCCCCAGAACTTGTCGATCCAACAAATTTAATTCAAATTTCATTCATCCTCATTCATCATTTCAGGTCTTTTCCCCAATGACAAAAAATGAAGTTTCTTCCGATAAAGATAATCTCACTATCTGCATTCTTCAATAACCAAAATTTATGTCATCAAACTTCTCGATCCCTGAAACTTTCACTTTATCTGCAGTCATCATTCTTCCCCAGATCCGAACAAAACGCTCTGAAACCAATTGTTGTTTTTTGCGAGATTTAGATATATAAATTGATGTGGTATATATATAAATCAAACAGGAGAACGATCCACGAAGTAAAAAATAGAACGAGAAAAATCACACCATAAAAGAACAACACAGCGGAACACACAGATTTACATGGCTCGGCAAATTGACTACGTCCACAAAGTTGCAGAGGATTTTACTACTTGAGTCATTTACACCAGTCGATCACTTCGACTCAAAGAGGAATCTCTCACTCTTCGTTGTTTTCTCTCTTTTTCTTGCTTTGTTTTTCTCTCTCTACACCAAGATACAACGAAAAAAAACTTTACACCGAGATATACCGAAGAGGACAAACTTATAAGAGAAATAAACTCAATTTTTCTGCTGCCATAAGTTACCAAGAAGAAGTCTACGGAGAACAATTTTCTTATTATTCTTCTTCTTCTTTCTTCCTTCTGCTGCAAGAAACTACCGCTTGCACTTCTCTTCCTCTGCTCCGAGGAAATCTTACTCTATCCCGAGGAAACCTAAGAAGAACTCAAAGCGTGATTATAAATCCCAAGAAGAGCTTTTGTCACGAACAGGAGGGAGCGAAGAGATGCTTCACTTCACAAAAGAGGAAGATATAGAACAATAGATTATTTGTGAAGAGATGTGACTCTCCAAAGCAAAACAACTGTCTAAGCATAGTGGACCGGGCTCCACCGTTTTTAACAGTTTTCTTAAGATTCCTGCAGTTCTTCTTTACACCGAGATATACCGAAGAAGACAAACTTATAAGAGAAATAAACTCAATTTTTCTGCTGCCACAAGCTACCAAGAAGAAGTCTACGGAGAACAATTTTCTTCTTCTTCTTCTTCTTCTTCTTTCTTCCTTCTGCTGCAAGAAACTACCGCTTGCACTTCTCTTCCTCTGCTCCGAGGAAATCTTACTCTATCCCGAGGAAACCTAAGAAAAACTCAAAGCGTGATTATAAACTCAAGAAGAGTCATCCGAAGTTTTTGTCACGAACAGGAGGGAGCGAAGGGATGCTTCACTTCACAAAAGAGAAAGCTATAGAACAATAGATTATTTGTGAAGAGGTGTGACTCTCCAAAGCAAAACAACTGTCCAAGCATAGTGGACCGGGCTCCACCGTTTTTAACAGTTGGACTGCTAGGGTCCTCATGGATTAGTATCATAGGTATAGAACAATAGATTGTTGCATCTAAAGCCAAAGAAAGCACGAAAAATAATTTTTGCACAACTGACCTCTTCTCTGCTCTTCGGCCAAGGAATCGAAGTCTTATAAGCCTCAGGCGCTGGAACCAAGCAATTCAACCGTTTCCCCTCATCCGGGCAATGCCGCTCAAACTTCTCCCCTCGTTCCGACGCGTTAAACTTCTCGATCGCCTCCAGGTTATCCAAACACGGAATATACTCCCTCGTGCTTGCAACACAGGGTTGAAACCTGTCAACCCTAACCCTCCCCTCGCCCACACCGCTCTCGACCATCGTCTCGTTCCACAGTGCCTGATTCCCCCCCACCTCCAAATCAAATAACCCAGCATCGAAGTCGTCCTTCATCTCCCCATTCTGGTCAACAACCTCAAATCTCTCCAAGGATGGAGGAGGAGGCGAGGGGATGAGTACAGGCGGCGGAAGAGGAGGGACTTGAGTGGAGGCGGTGGAGATAAACGAAGAGATGTTGATTGTGCGGAGTGAATTGGAGGAGATGGGAGCGGAAGGGGCGGTGTTTGCTTCGCTGGCATTGGTGTTAGGGTTGAAGAAGATGAGCTGAGAGGGATCGTGGGACCAGTGCTTGCCGAGGAAAAAGGTGGCGATGCACGCGAGGAATAGTGCGGCAATTTTTATGGAGAATGGCGACTTGAAGAGATCGATGAGAGCTTTCATACCTCTCAGAGAGAGAGAGGGAGAGAGATGAGTGGGATGCTCGGAGAAGAAGGGAACAAGCCGACGGATTTAACTGAGTTTTGCCCATCCCTTTGGGCTGCAATCGAAAAATTAAAAATAGCAGGGGATGCATTTAAAAAAGAAGATTTACATACAAAACACTCCATCCATTCTTATGTATTTAGATGTCTTAACGCATAAACCTTAATTTTTACATACATACCACCTTCTCTATACATGAAATATGTATTTCACTTTTTAAAAATTGAAATAATTTTATTTTCATATGATATTAAAAATTTAGGTGATATAAATGAAAGAAGTAAAGTTTAGGTGTTACATATGTAAATGCATAAGTATTAGGCCGTATGTATATAAAATGCCCATAAATAATTATTATGCTAATATAACTTATCTGTTGCTATTCTGATATATAATTTCTTTCGTTGTAATCACGTTGAGCAAAGTCAACAAAATGGAGGAAAAAATATTATATCAGGACTCCGCACGTAGATTTACGTGCGGAGTCGAGTCCAATGAAATCATGTCACACACGTGAATGTGAGAAAAAAATCAGTCTGGTAACACAGTAGAATATTTCTCCCGTGTTATTCAGGTGTTATTGTGTGTTATTCAATTGTTATTGATGTGTTATTGTGTTATTATAACACCAAGAATATTTCCATAACAACACAATAACACATGAATAACACATGAATAACATACAATAACACATAATAACACGGGGGAATATTTTTCTGTGTTACCTGTGTTACCGGGAATATTCTCTTGTGACGTGATTTCATTAGATTCCGCACGTAACTCTACGTGTGGAGTCGTGATGTAATATTTTTTGAAAAGGAGAGAGGATGAGGGCTCCAAAAAGTGATGTTAAGGCTCAGTGAGTCGAGAATCACAATAATAATATATTATTTAACTTACTAAAAATAAACAGATGATACATTATTATTAAGAAATGTGAAATAAATATATTTAATTAAATTCTAATTAATTTATTTATAAGCAATCATCTTGCTCAATATCAAGCCTTTAAAAAAAAAATTATGGAACAAGAAACAATTTAGCTTATGAATATAAATAAATGAATTGAGTTATGTTCAAATTAGATTAATTTAGTCTTCAAGCTCAAAGTTATTTAATTATTAATTTGATAAAATTTAAATGTGTATTTATTAAACTAAGCTAAGTTCTTCAATGAGTGTATTGATTTACTTATAATCTATCTATTTGGGGCGGACTCAATTAGACTTATGTAATATAATAATCATTTCTCACCGATAACCCCACATTAAAGAATGGTAAGATTCACTAATTAGATCATTTTTTTTTTCTTTGGTAATTGAACCCAAAAAATAATGTGCACTTTAAACTCGAGACCTCACAGGAGGAAGCAAAACTCTCTACTTAACAAACTTAGCTAGTTATTGTACAATATAGCACCTCATCAACATTTTTATTCATTTAATGAAGATAAAAAATGCCTATATCTAAGCCAAAATGAGATAAAAGATTCTCCATAAAATTTTAAAACAATAATATATCTTCATTTTGAAATAAAGCTCCCTTAATTTCTTAACTTTTTAATTTTTTTTAGCGAAAGAAAATATATTCCCATTTGAAAATTATAATTCGTATGCATCACATATTAAATTTGAGTCTCAATTTATATATAATATAATAGGACATCCCCAAAATTTAAGACAATGTAATTAAACTAAGCTACATTAAATCAATATAAAATAGACTCTTATTCAATATGCTTAATATGTATTATTTTAATAATTGAATTACTTATCACTTGATGAAGGGCTTCACAAAAAACATATGCATCGGGTTTAGAAATAGAGTATCTGAAATGGGGGTTTTCCTCCAAAAGCTTAATCTGTTTGGCTTAAACCAGTTCAGTTGAGAGGGTGGCTGAACTGGCCCCCTCCTCCTCTTTTCATTGGGCGGGAAATTTTCCCCCTTTCTATTTTTATTTCCAGCTTATATATCTCCTATTTATATGTGTGTTTATTGTCTAGGTTTTAGTTTTATGTTATTTCAGATTTTAGATTTGTAGAGACAGCCGTCGGCGTCCTGTTTTCTCCCTCGAGGGTTGTCTCCGACGGTTAGGGTGCTGCTCTGGCTGTGTCACTCTCCCCGATGGTGATTTTACCTTCCTCCCTTTGTGGGCATCCACTCTCTGATACCCCACCAGAATTCCAGTTTCAACATCCTCCACTCCTTGCTACCACCTCCAGCCCAGGATTGTCGTAATCCTCCCAATCGTCTTATCGCTAACCTCTCTTGGACATCGCCCATCAGATTCTTCCTTGCAGGTCACACCCCTGTCCATTGTGGCTCCCTCCTGAAGGGTTCCCAACCCAGTGATCCTGTAACCCACTTTCCAGCCTAATACCCCCTCTGCCCCCTTCCCTTAAACGCAAGGTTTTCCTCCAAAAACTAAACCGGTTTAGCATAAACCGGTTTAGTTTAGAAAGGTAGGCATAACCAACCCCCTCTTTTTGCTTTTTAATTGGCGGGCATGTTTTCAATTTTATTTTATTTTTTATTTCAGATTTGTCAGGACTTCCGCCGACATCATAGTTTCCCCTAAACTGTTAGGGTGATGCTTCAGCTGTATCCCTCTCACCGACGGTGATTATCTACTCCATCTTCCACCTCCATACCTCTCGTACTACCTGCAGAATTCCCCTCAACCCCACACACATTACAGCCTCCCCTTTTCCCCATTTCTACAGCTCCAATCCCGGCAAACCCGGTCGCCCAACACTATCACCTGTGAACCTCCCTACCCGTCACACCATAGCCTCCTCAAATCTCCCAACCAGCCTCTGCCTTGACCTGTACCCCGTAAGATCCACGTCCCATGAAATCCAACCACACATCACCCATCCTCCCCACTGTAGCCTTTTTTTGTGAGCCTTCCCAATCCCAACCGATCTCATAACTCCCTTTCCCTTCCCTTTCTGGCTGCCTTGAATATACCCCGTAACAACCAACCCACTCCACTATAGCATCTCCCAATCCTCACAGAACTATTGCCAACCTTCTCCAAGCCCGAAACCTACTGTCTTTGGGTCTCCCAAGCCTCAACCTACTAATGTCCAACCTACCCTTGCCTCCACCAGCTGCCTCCACCCCTTCTCTGCAATCACCGCAAAGCCTTCCTACAACCATCTAGGCGGCCATCACTTATACCTACCCCTTCTCACTATTGTCAACAGGTCATCCCAGCTCGCCCTAGCTGGAGAATCGTGTTGTGTTGCATTTCTTTTTTTGTTCCGAGTTTTAGTTGTAACCCTTTTACATTTGAATAATAATATTCATACTTTCGTTGTGGATTGGGTTTTCCCCTCTGGTGTCAGTATCAAAATAATCATCTATTGATTTATTTTATTTTTTATGCATTTTTTAGAGCATTTACATACATAACACACAATTCTTAGGTATTTACATCTCTCCATAAACTGTCATTTTTACTCCCCGTACTCAAATCTTTAATATCACATCTAAAAGAGCACATATATCACTGTTTAAAAATGAAATATAAATTTTCATGCATAGGCTTAAAGCATCAAAGTGCAAGATTTAAGTGTGGGATATATTAAAACAGAAGAATTGTGTGCTAGGAATGTAAATTTGTCTAATATTTAATGCTGAGGGAATTTATACACATGGCTTCAAAATTAATGCACATTACATTGAAAATGCCCAAAGGTTCCGAACTTCATACTTATGTCACCACCAAGCAAATCATAAGCCAGCTTTAGCATACATGAGAAAATTTAAGAATTAAAATTGCAATATAATAAAATTTCTGACAAGCACATAAATTTTCAGGCTCTGTTTGGCGCAGCTGCAGCTTCCCAGTTTTTCAGCTGCAGCTGCGGAGAAACTGACTGTCTGTTTGATGCAGCTGTGTGAAAACAGCTGTGGGGCAGCTATTTTTTGAGAAATGATCATGCTGCCCATGTTTGTTAAAACTGTTTAAAAGAACTGTAACAGCTACATTTTTTTAAACTTCTGAAGCAAAAATTCATTTTTAAACATAACTGAAAGTTCATATACCCTCACTTCTAAAAGAAGATTTTGTGAAAGTTTAAAAGATAGATATGTAAATCCATAAAAAAAGAACATGTAGGGAGACTAGAAACTTGAAATTTTAAATGATAGATATGTAAATCAATAAAAATCGAATAAAATGCACTAAATCCCTCCTCTCTTTTTTTTT